AAGACTTTATGAAAGACTTTTGAAAATCTAAATATATAGTTTATTAGATAACCTGTATCTACAAATTCCCTTGATGCCCTCAAAAAGTTAGTGAGACAAAAAGTATCCCAAAAGGAGCCATGTTGCTCTTTTTCATCAGGGCTTATTCCTGTATATGTTTTTTTTTCTCTTTAATAATAATTTTCTGTCATGGTATCTGGAACAGAAGTTGTGCCAATTTTCTGTCCCTCCCATCCCTTTTTTAAAAACCAGAGATACATTAGTTGTTTTCCAATCCTTGGAATAGATGCCATCTATAAAGAGAATTTGCATAGTTTTGCTGCAGTTTGGCCCTACTGATTTATTTTTAATTTGTTGATTAGACTTACAAATTCATCTCTTGCTACCTCTATTTATCAGTTCATCTGGTTTTTTTGAAAAAGAACATGTCAGGCTTGGACATAATATGCTAGATCTGAAGCAGCAAAGTCAGAAACAACGAATTTATTGTTTCTCTGCATTTTCTCTTTTTTTAGCACACTTTCAACAGCTCTGTTGCCCAGTCACCCAAGAGCCTCCCTGGCTGGTTTCCTGATTCAAATATATTTAATGAATGTTTTGTTGTCTTAATGTTCTTTGCCATCTGCTCCTCAGAGCACAATTTATTGATTGCTCGCATTTCTTTTGTCAGTGTTTATGCTCATTTTTATTCTCATTTGGGCAAGACTTCAATTTTTGAAAGAAGCCTTCTCAGCTTTAATAGCTTATCTGACTCTATTGTCATGTTCTCCTGGTCTTTGTGGCACTTTTCCTCTTTGGAAGCATATATTCTAACTAAGTCAATTATTCTTGTGCATGTTAATTATCTCCAAGACATTTGACCATCTTGACTTCTTTCAATTTTTTGTTTTTGGTTAACGAATCCCCTCATTTTACGAAGTTTGCTTTTTTTATGCCAAACATAATGGTGTTGGAAGTCTGGTGAGCTTCTAATCGTTAGACAAAAGGAGATTTAGGTTGATAATCTTTTTTTTTCTTTTATGAGAGATGTAGTCCTTGCTTAATGACAGTATTTGGCACCAGAACCTCTGTTGCCAAGTGATGCAGTAGTAAAGCATGACATCATGTGACTATGCCACTTAGCAATGGCAATTCCAGCACTTTTGGTTGCTGTCATTGTGAACCCCATGCCGTCATTAAGTGTGACTTCACATGGTTGCCATTTGCGACCTTTTGCTGGCTTCCCCATTGACAATGCTTGTCAGAAGCCGGCAGTGAAGGTCACAAATGGTGAACACGAGACCGCGGAACGCTGCAATATAATTGCGAGCCAGACGCCAAGTGCCCAGATTGTGATCATGTGACCGCGGGGACACTGCAACGGCCGCAACTACAAGGACTGGTCATAAGTACCACTCATTCAGTGCTGTCATAACTTTGAACTTAACAAGTAGTCATTAAGCAAGGACTACTTATACAAGTAGCATATTCTCAGATGCTTTGCTGAGAACTGTTTTGATCATAATATGTATGCAAAAAGACTGGGTTCTTACATTGTGCTTGTAGTAGGCACCTGCAGCTTACAAGCTCTAGAGACTTGAATTGGTTTAGCAATGTACCTACAGTTGACCTGTGGACTGGTCCCTTCCTAATTTAGGAAGGTGAATATCTCTCCTTGAGGTTGAATAGTAAGAGGGGATTTTATAGGAGGCTTAAAAAAAAAAAAATCTTTATAGGGAGCTGCTGCTTGTTGTGGAGAAAATTAGAATTTAAGGTGAAAGTTGTAGGATTAGATTTTCCAGGACTCGGGAAGTAATATAATGCACCCAGATTTCTTGGGGGCGGGAGTAGTTAGATGGAATATGTTTGATGATTTTACTTTGCATGTGCTTAAGCCTCACCCAATTTCTTTCAAAGCAATATTTCTCTGAGCCTTACTCTCCATTTTGGATGAGTCTGCCCAATGTTCCTTTGTTCACAACTGTTCTTTGTATCCTAAACCTTTAAGCCTAAAATTCTCCATGTTTCCTTCGCTGCTTTGTGGCTTTTCAGCAATTAAATACAATTTTATATGGACATTTCTGGTGCCACTTTGTGATTTAGGGGAAGGTGTTGTAATCTGTTAACATGCCTCAGAAGACTTGGCTTCTGCAGATTGAATCCCGCTGACTACCAGATACAGGCTTATGGTGTGCTGGTGTTTCTCAGGTAAAAGAAAAGGGAAAATATGCTCCTTTTTTTGGCCTTGGTCTCATAACCTGGTAGAGGGGTGGAAAGGAAAGTGGTGCAGTAAATAATGAAGGCAATAACTACTGCATCATTCCTCGCTGTCTTGATTGGGTGGGGCAGGCCCAAAGGTGAAAGGGAGCTTTACGGTGCTATAAACCAAGAACAAATCATAATGGTTAGTTTGGTTAAGGTCCATAAGGTAGACAGGCCAATTTGCTCAAAACATACTAAAGGCTTAGTAAACATGTACATGTATCTCATGAATCATTTTTGGCTTACTATGATTTGCAAACTTGCCCCAGGTTCAGATATAAACTAAATACAAACTGGAATGGCTTAGGGCAGAGGTTACCAAACTATGGATTGCAATTCTTTGGAGGGATCTGGAACGGGGTTGCAAATTTTGAATGACTTGTCCAGGCAGAGCCAGACTGCTGGTCTATGAGAGGAGTTGGATGTTGTAGAGGTTGCAAGGTAAAGGAGCTGCAAAGCTGGGCCCAAAGGCGGTAGTATCAGGGCTGGGAGCAAAGTCATGGGATTTGTGGGCAGGACTGAGGGTGGCAGAGCAGGAAGACCCAGGAGACTAGTTTCACAGAAGAGAGCTGTGGATTTGCCAGATGCCTCACCAAGGCATTGTTTTCCTCTGACCTTTGAGAACCCATGGATGCTGTTGGAATTCTGACCCCCTGAATTTTACAAATGGAACCACTTGGTTATTTCCTGAATTCTGTCCTTCACCACCAGTGTACATCTTCTTATTGATCAGGTGATGTACATCTGGACCTGCTTTTTGGAACAGGGCCCCCAAAACTCTGTGTAGCACTTTTGGGATTCTCTGTGAGAACTCACTCTCACTTCACCTGAATCCTGGTGTAGGATGAGGTGTGAATCCAACCATTGAGCCAATGATGTTTCCTGCCTAATTTGCTATTACAGGTAGTCCTCTACTTATGACTGGAACTTTCGTTACTAAGCGATGTGATCATTAAGTGAGTCATGCCCGATTTTACAACCATTTTTGCCCTTCTTGTTAACTGAATTGTGCAATTGTTAAGTGAATCATGTGGTTGTTAAGCAAATTCAGCTTCCCCCATTGATTTTGCTTGTTGGAACCCCCCTGGGAAAGTCGCAAATAATGATCATGTGACACCGGGACACTGCAACCATCATAAATATATGCCAGTTGTCAAGCACACAAATTTTGATCATGTGACTGTGAGGATACTGCAATAGTCATAAGTGTGAGGACCAGTCCTAAGTCATTTTTTTCAGCATTGTCATAACTTGGTTGTTATACAAATGGTTGTAAAGGGCTGTAGAGGGAAGGATTTATTCTTGCATAGGTCCAGAGAGAATAAGAAATCAGAATTAAACAAGGATGTATGGATATTTGGAGATGAGAGTTCATGAATGGGGAAGTATTTTGTTGCTATCATTTGAATTGTGATTTTGCGTGTGTGTGTGCGTGTTACAAATTGTTGACCCATGATTGAAACTCTCAGCCACATAGGAGCAAAATATTGGGGCTTGGTTAGTCTTTAGAAAGGCATCAGCACAAACTGAGAAATCAAAATATATATTTTAATTTCTGGTGTTTTTTCTTTTTAGAATAGCAATAGATGGTATAATGCATATACTTCTTAAAGAAAAAAATGCATTTCTATAATAAGATTAATTTAGAAGAATTAAGGATTTTATTGTAATCAGTGGCAGTTTTTCATTTTGATTAAATGTCATTTTGATATCCACATTTAACTTTTTAACAATGAATACAATTATCATTTCCAGTTTTGCTGTGCCAAGATTTGTTCTTACAGCTTGTATTTATTGAATAAAGCATAAGGTAAAATGCTGGTTTTTCATAGTGAAGCTATGTCATTAAGGTCACATTTGAATATACCTCACATTTGATAAGTTGAATTTATTTTCAAGAAAATTTATTAGAATGAGGAGGAGAAAGTCACTTTAAAAAAGCAGAAGCAAAACCTTTCCCCATTTTAAAAATGTGTTTAGTATTTGGTTTTGAAACAGTACAAAGAGAAGCGAAAATTTTAAAAGGGCACATACCAAAAGTAGTTGCACCTTGTCTTCATAAAAAGGAAGGCATGTTAATTATAACTAGCTGATTTCAGTGGGAACTAATTGCAACAGCTGCGGGCTATTGAATTGCTTGTTTAAATTAGAATTCTTAGTGATTAAAATGTTTGTAGCAATAGGTAACCCCATTTGTGATAGTGGAAATTTCATTACATTCCTGCAGCGGATTTCATCAGCACAAAAATGACTGACTTGGTTGAATTTGGCAATTAACTATTTTAGTTCCTGACACCTTGCCTCATCTAAAAGTACTGTAAACTCAGTGTAATAAATATGACACCTCTGGAATTTTCAGTGCAATGGTTTTCAGAGTTTTAGTTTATTTTCTTTTTGAACAGTCAGTGCCCCTTTAATCTCAAGGGATAGATTTGTGGCATGAAGAGACTACCATCTATCAATTGTACAGTACTTTAATCTCAAGACAGCACCTTGTATTTTAGATATTAAATCATTTCCAGCAAGTAGCCTCAACATAACCTTGCCCTTTCTTGATTATTTCAATAATATTTTATTTTTCAGTCTTAGATGTCTTACTGAACAATGGCAAATATTAATTTATCAACAGTAGAATATATATATGGACTATGCCTCACTATTACTTGTGTTCCAGAAATAGTTTTAGCTTTTTATTTTTCTGGTTTCCAAATAAGAAATTCCCCATAGAAAATTAATGTATGTTTCTTTGTTTTCTTTAGGTATTTTATATTGGACTTTGAGACTGGAATTCTACAATACTTTGTAAATGAACAGAGTAAAAACCAGAAGCCTCGAGGAATCTTGTCTTTAGCTGGCGCCATAGTTTCTCTCAGTGATGAAGCTCCGAACATGTTGGTGGTATATTCTGCTAATGGAGAAATGTATAAACTGAGAGGTACAGTATTCTTTAGGGTTCAGCTCCCTTGATACAGTATAATTTTCAAACGATGTTAATTGTGGTAAACACTTTACTTAATTTGTATAAAATTAAAGTAAGACTCTGCATTTCCCCTATTAATGTTCATATGCAAATTAGTACATTGACATGAGATTTATATTTGTATTGTAGATAATTCTGTTTAGGCTAGAATTAAATCTTTCAGGACTGAAAAACGTTCTGAAAGTCTGTCGATTTAATTAAACGCAAACTAGGCAATTATCAGAATATCTGATAGAATTCCCTGAACTGTACATTTCATGTTGAGGGCATGTTTGTTTCTTTACAGAAAAATAGACTTTCTAATTTATCAATATGTGTTTAAGTCATAAGTAAGTATTTTGATATATTGGGATTAAGTTATGTACCTCAGATTTAAAAGCAAGATAGACAAGTCAATTTTCACTCATCAGAATGTCTTAATTTTAGCATGGGGAATTTGAGAACAGAAAGTTTTCAAAACAACAAATTGTTTTTAAACTGAACAGTTAAATTACAGATTATTTTGTGTGTATTTATTTCTAGCTGGTGATACAAAGGAGAGACAGTACTGGGTGACTCAGCTTCGATCTTGTGCCAAGTACCACACAGAAAATAATTTGAAGGTAAAAATTACTGGACGGGAAATAGCTTACTTCCATGTCATTAGGGCGAGTGAAGTTTGTAATAATAAAACCCCATTAAATTGTTAAGTTTGCAGGGCCTTACTGTTAATTTTTCACTTCCACATACAGTAGAAAAAGTTATAAAAAGATAACTGTTTACCAAGTTTTAATATCAGTAGGGTTTAATGGGCTGGTAACTGATATCAAAAACATAAACTAATAGCAGAAAAGGGAGATAATTTTGAATATAATGAATGTACAGGGTGACTGTTTCATGTACTGTATCTTTTTAGGAAATGTTAGTGTGTTAAATTAACAAACAAAAATGAGGTTCCCTCTAAATTGAGTGTTAGAAGCCATTTACCTGTTATAATATGGGTAGTCCTCACTTAGTGGCCACAATTGGGACTAGCAGCTCTGCCGTTAAGTGAAGCAGTCACTAAGTGAGAAATCACGTGACTGTGCTTTCCTTTTCCCCACTCCCCCATGGTTTGGAATGCTCACCCCCAAGGTCCTGGAATTGTCAGCTTGAAACTGACAAGACTAATCAGTTTCACACCTTTGGCTTTTGTTTGCCTCCTGACCACTGTCCAGCTCTTTGGAATGAAAGGATCACAAGAGAGTAAGCAGGCATACAATGGGGAATACACATAGAAAGGAATGTGGTGTGTATAGAAACCAAAATGGGGCAACCAAACAAGTCCACGTTGTATGTGTTAAAGTTTCTTCAAATTTTTTACATCTCAAGCATAAACAGTTTTAGAGGTAACCTTCCTTAAACTTTAGCTGGGGCATCCAATAAACATGATTTTTTAAAATGAATTAATTTTATCTTAAGATCAAAAATACATGTCTGATACCCTTTAGATCACAAAAATACTGACTTGATGAAACAAGATATCCCAACTTTTTATTTCAAAATTCTTGTTAATTATCAATATTTATTTTAGAGATCCTCTTCAATTGTTTATATAACTGAGCTTTAGATTGAGACTCCAGTGAAATCTTTTCAAGTATATCAAGTAGTTTAAGAGTTTCAGAGCCTGCCAATATGTCAGATCCAAATTGAGAAATGAACAAATATTTTAATTGGATGTGGATCTGAGGAAATTTTTGTCAGCCCACATTTCTTTTTGTAATTATTCAAAGCCTTTAAAAAGTCTGCTGATCTGAAACATTTTTCCTTTTTCTGCCCAGGTATTCCCAACCCCCCCCCTTTTTTCCTGCTTTTTTAAAATTAGGGTTATCTAAAACAGTGAATTTCTTTTGAGAACTGGGGTCAAGCTGAAACCTTCACCCCAGAATTTTCCAAATAGGTCTGGTTGCATTTAAAGCAAATAAAGTAACTGAATGTTGGCTAAAATTAGAACCAAGTGTTTCAAAGCAGTCAAATAGTTGCACTGTTGAAGTTCTGCCACTAGTTGCTCTTTATTAATGAGGATTGGGGGATAATAATCATTCAAAGCTCTTCTGCCCCCCAACTTCTCATGAGCAGTCATCAATAAAGCTCATTAACTCAGCATGTATGTGCTATTACAATGCCATATTTTGATTTGCTTTTATAAAGAAGATCTTTGTCTCTATTTAATGGAACTTTCTGTGACACATGCAAGCCCAGAGTAACTCTTTAGAATGAGGCATGTGATAAGATAGGACATTTGTGTCTGATGCTTCCTCTCATTGCAATTAAATTTGTGACAAAATGGTCCCTGATGCATTGGGTAGTCACTTATAATAACTGGTCACAGTGGACTGGTTCACATACAATACTAAGCCATCATGTGTTTTATTTGTTTTGGCTTAGCATGAGATATGAATTTACCTCTCATAGGTTTGCATTACTATATATATTAACCAGGCCACAGTGACAGATCTAACATATGCTGGATGTTAAAATGTATGTTAATGTGTGAATGCAGCCTGTATGCAAGCTATCCATAGCACCTGTCACTAGTGTGGCACTTGCATTTGTTGGAGAATTTTCCCAGAGGTACGTTTGAACCAGAGATTGGTACACATTACACTGAAGCACAAATTGGTTTAGTGACAGTGCTGGAGGCCTGAACAGGAGAAGTGCTATAATCCTTCCTTACAGATTTATACAAATTAGAGTATACATGTGATTGGATACAACAGCAAGATATTTGTTTGGATATAAGCAACAGTAAGTATTTGATTGGGTATAATGTATCATGCGCCTAGTGAGGTTAGTGAGGCAATTAGGGTGTATGAGATAATGAGGCAGGACTACAAAGACAATGAGGTTATGAAAGAACAAAGAGGCATTCCATGAACATAGTTTCTTCTCAGGGAGTTGCTTTCTTTTGGTTTCCCAGAGCTCTGCTTGGGAAGCCTCCCAGTATCTTCTTCCAGCATATCACTTCTTGGCTTTTTCAACGTTTTATGGCTGAGCTGGCATTTTTAGCTTCCCTAGGAAAGTATATTTTGGTTTAGGGGCTTTTAGTTTGATTCCCGAAATTCTCCTTCACCAATCATCAACCTAGGTCTCCAACAATGATCTTTTCCAAAGAGCAGTACCAACATGACATGGAGAGAGGGAGCGTGTGGAAATGAATTCCATTCATCCATTCTGTGTTTTCAAGTTAGCAGAAAATATGCAATGCCAGTGGGTTGTTTATTAATATTTCCTTTTACCATAATTTTTTACCATCAGGATCTTAATTTTCTTTATTTATATTTGTATTTCTAGCAATGGGGCTTGATTTTTAATCTGAAACTTCATAGTAGCCGAAGAAATCTCTTCAAATAGAACCATAGTGTGAAGGTTAAAATATATGCATGTAACATCTACCGAAGCTTTAGACTCTGTGTTTTGTTTGTCATTATGTTAAAACTAATTATTCTTGTCTTGCCTGTTCAGTGAATCCAATAAATATGGACAAGAAAAATTGTTTCCGTTCAAACTCTTAGGGAAATAAAGATTGAAAAAAGTGTCTATTTTTTCCCATTACCTTCATTTAGCTTGAACTTAGTTGTGTATATTGTGTCTTGATACTTTCTGCAGGAAAGATGGGCTAGCTATAATAAATGTAACATGATTTATTCAAGGAATTCAATTATTTATATTCAGGATGTGAAACTCTCTACTTAAAATAAACATATAGATTTTTGGTAAATGTGAGAGGTTGTGCCAGTTTCTTTGCAGGAGTAAAGAGGACTTCTTGGATGCAGCTTGAAACATCCTAAGATAGTTTTTCAAGTCACATTTCTGAAATATAAGGTTTGTTGTATTTGGAACAGATGGTTCAAATGGATATGCAACCTATTGTGTATTAGCCTTACCACATTGGGCTGGAGAGACAAACTAGGGGTCCTACTTGTGTACCAGCCACCTTGCTGCCTGGCAGGATCCTCCCTGCGCTTCTTGAACTGGCCTCAGGGTTGGCACTGGAGCAACCTTGCATTTTGGTGCTGGATCACTTCAACCTACCAACTTTGGGGGCTGGTTCAGGTAAAATGTGGAGTTTATATCTTCCATGGTGACCATGGGCTTGTCTCAAGTTATCTCCGGCCTGATACATGTAGATGGTTACACTCTGGATCTTTGATTTATCTCTGAGCAGTTGTTCAGTGAGCCAGAAATGGAGGGAATTTCCATCATCCTGTTGCCATGGTCAGATCAAACCTAGGTCTGATTGTGACTGGTAGCCTCCATTGGGCAGTAGGACCAATGCCTAATGGATCCAATTGGTTTTCAGAGGGAAAATCTTCAATTTTCCCAGCTCTCTGACAGGTAGTTCCAATTTAGTCTTTGGTGAGCAGCTGGTATCAGGAGGTGAGCTGGGTGCCAGATGTTATTGCATCTAAGCAGCCTCTTTTTGGTTGCTGATCTTGGGGGTTGCCTTGCTTCACTGAGGCCATCCAGGAATGAAGTGCCAGAAATGAAACTTGGAGCATCAGTGGAGGAAGACTAGAAGCAAACCCACCAGAGCACTGGTATTTGCCTATATTTGGGCCTCCACCATGATGAAAAGGGAGGAGAGGCACTCTTATTTCTCCTCCCTTATTGCATCAATGGGCTGCTATCCAGCCTTGTGAGGTTGTAAACTTCCTTGTGGGAAGGAGACAGACATGTGATCTTTCACCGAGCTGCTGTGACCACCTTGTGCAGCATTTTGCTAAGAGTTGTTTGGATTTGCTGAAGTCCTGACTCTGAAAGGAGACAGTGGTGACAAGTAATTGCTTACTTTGTTATCTTGGTCTGTGACTTCTGAGGAAGAGGGGAAGGGTGCTGTCTCAATTGTCCTCTGCACTTGCCATGTGGACTCCTTCCCTTCCTGGCTTGTTCAGGAAATGGGTGGAGTGGTGGCCATTTGGATGTGGGAACTTGTCAGCACCTCATTATGAGAGGGGGAATTCCTGCCAGCCTTAAAACAGGCTATGAATCTAGTGCTGTTGGAGAATTATTGGTCAGTCTCCAATCTACCCTTTTTTGAGAAGGTTGTTGAGTTGGTGATGGTAAATCAGTTCCACAGCACCACAGAGAAAATATCCTGCCTTTGGTATGGATACAGTATTGGTCATTCTCTTAGATAATCTTTGTCAAGACTTGGGTGAGGATAGTGCACCCCTCCTGTTCTTATTGGACCTCTCAATAGCTTTTGGTACCATCAACCATAGTATCTTATTGGACTATCTGCAATGGTTGGGGATAAGAAGTGTGGTTTTGCCATGGTTCCACTCCTTCAATGGATGGTGGGGAAGACAAGGCTGGTTAGTGCCCCAGTGTGTGGGATGCTGCAGGGGTCAATCCTCTCTTCCCTGTTCTTTAATATCAATATGAAGCCACTGGGAGAGGTCATCAGTACACTGATAATATCCAATTGCACATTGCTGCCCCAGGCCATGAGGGGGACGCTGTTATGTCCTTTCCCAGTACCTGGAGGCTCTGAAGGTCTGGCTGGAAGCTGAACTCTAGTAAATCAGAGTTGCTGTTGATACACTGGAGGTCTGTCACCACCAGAGTGTTCCTTGACTGG